TCCTGATGACAAAGAAAAATTGTATTATCTATATCTGTAAATCTACTGTTAGTTTCCACATTTAATTTTATGGAACACATGAATACATTTGTCTTGATTAATATGAACCTGTATTTCAATGTACCCATCAAGGTGACAAATTTAAATAAAAATAAATACAATTAATATCCAGGAATCTAGTGTCAAATTTTGTTTAATTATCTTTGTACCTACTGTTCTTTCTATTTCCACAAAAACCACGTACTCCAAGCATCTGTCTACCATGTTCCAACGATTTTAAAAACCTGTTGGTTGCTTTCAATCCCAACCATGAATTCCCCTACCATTCTTATGGGGTTCCTTTATTTCTGAGACGGACCAGGTGCATTTTAGCTGCGGTTTGAAGTACGTGGGGGGCCAAGGAAATCTGCGTATGGGGTCAGTGAGTACCAGACGGTAGGAAAACGTGGTCTTTCCTGGAGAGCAAAGCCCCTCGAGCCACCGTCTCTCGAAAGAGTTGTCCTCTGAACGCAAGAGCCAACGAAGAACCCTGGTGACCCTTCGGGGACGGTGATCTAGGAGGTGAACCGCGATTCTCTCGACGCTGCTTTCCCATTCAGACTCGTTGGATTCGTTTCGAGGCAACCTGGGGTGAATACTTGCGGTAACAAAACTGCCCCTCGCGGGATTTAAGCAGGTAATTGTACGCAAACGAGGCGGTCTTGGCCTTCCCCGCAGATGGGGAGTGGGGGGGGTGGAAAAATGTTTGGCGACCTGAAAGGGGTGGTTCAGGATTTAATTAAAAAAATTTTTCAAACGGATGCCCGGTACGTCGTTGAATGCCCCGGCGTGGGTGTAGTTTCCTTAACCGCGGACACGTTCAGCAATTTACGCTCCGCGAGGTCCCGAGGAATTGAGAAACGGTTACGCGCTTCAACCCTTTCGATCCAGGTACGTTTTGAAATTCCATATTTAGAGTGAATATTACTTGGGAGGGTGGAAAATTTATTTCGTAGTAAATGGTCTCTGGAAATGATGTTTAGGAATTTTTTTTTGGGAATGTAATACACCATTTAATGTTAATTTAATTATGTAATTAAATTGCAACGTTAAAAAATGACTAGAGACAAATATAGATGCACACAAAAAATTTCTAATAATGAAATTAAAATTATTTAAAATTACAGACGCTACTCTATAAGCTGAGGTTTAAAAAACAGACGTGGGACACCCCCGGAATTGGTTTTAAATTCAATAAAAATTCCGCAGCGAAAGAATGAACGTCCCTGTGTCGGATCGGAACGTCCCCCCCTCCCCAAAAATAGGAACAGAATCGGTGCATTGAATCTGCCTCGAAGCAATATGTAACATCGATCCGCTTTGAAATCGAGCCGCGGATTTGCGGAACCTTAAATATTAAAGTATCCACGTATCGTATCCGTTCCCGTGGACATGTATACAGGGTGTTCAACTACCCCTAGGAAAAATTTTAATGGTTAATTGTTGATTGAGGCTTCGTTAAAAAGTTATTAACAGTTATGCCTCTACGCAAGTTACCTATCTAAAGGCGCAACTGTTAATAACTTTTTAACGAGCCATGAGGTGAGAAATTGTATTCTTGATTTTCGTCTTATTTTGGCCTCTAGAATCCCCCATCAAAATTTTTCCCAAGGTCGAGGCTCCGTTCAAAAGTTATTAACAGTTGCACCTGTACGCAAGTTGCCTATCTAGAGACGCCATTGTTAATAACTCTTTAACGAAGACTCGACCTTGGGAAAAATTTTGATGGGGGATTCTAGAGGCCAAAATAAGGCGAAAATCAAGAATACAAATTTCTCGCCTTTTGGCTCGTTAAAAAGTTATTAACAGTTGCACCTCTACGCAAGTTGCCTATCTAGAGGTGCAACTGTTAATAACTTTTTAACGAAGCCTCAATCGACAAATTGGTATTCTTTAAATTCGTCTTATTTTGGCCTCTAGAATCCCCCATTATAATTTTTCCCACGGGTGGCTGGACACCCTGTATAGAGGGTGACGATGCAAATTCTCCAGCCTCGCCCCCGAACCGGCAGAATTTCTGCCGACGTCGACAGCGACGAGATCGAGCGCTGGGAACACGGCATAATGAAAATAACATTTTCGTTTTGACTTTCAATTTTCCGTGGGGGAGCTTTGGCCGCGTTGAGCCCTCGTTCAAAATGGATTTACACGACCGCCAATATGGCCGTGGCAGCGGTTTATCGAGCCCCGCTGTTCCTATCTGGCGGATTTGTTAATTTAAAAGGTAATATCCGCGCGCGCGCCGCCATGAAATACTACCCCTCCGATAATCTACGATGTATCCGCCCGCAAACCCGTTCTTCCGCCCCCTCACACCACCCACATTCCCGCTTTTTGTCAATCGCGTTTCGATAAATCCCTTTTCTGCGTTAATTAAATAAGACGTATCAAGTATTATCATTCGAATTTCAGGGATGAACAGCCTCCATTTTTTCGGGGAATTTTTTATCTGTATATTAAGGGGGTGTACAAAATAAAAATTTCAATTTAATTTTTTTTTTTGTTTCTTAAAATTATTATTTCTTTGAGGGAGTATTTTCAACCCCAAATTGTTTCCTTTTTATTTTGCAATTTTTTTTTAAAGGGTGGTTTCACCCCCAAATCCTATAAAGCACCCTCAAATCGTTTTCTTTGTATTTTGTAATTTTTTTAAAGAAGTATTTCCACCCCCAAATTCTATAAAGCAGTGTTTTCCCCTCAAATCATTTCTTAATATTTTTTAATTTCCTAAAAGAGTTGTTTTCACCCCCCCAAAAAATAATTTTACCTAAATTTGAGTAAAATTTCCAATATTTTTAATGAAAGGACGTCGAATAAATATAATATAAAATTACGGATGGACAATTGGGAGACCCTTCTAGTTATCGTCGACGTTCCCTTTTGTTAAAAGTAATGGCCGCCCCGGAGACGTATACACGCGACACGGAACGTCGTATTTTACTTAAGTTCGAGCATTCGACGACGAACGAGTATTTATTGTCGGCGGACACGTAACGTCCACTTTCGGCCGTAGAAACTTATCTCGAGGCGAAGTTTACTGGCACCAGGCGAACGGAGAAAAGTTGCCAGGAGGTTACACACAGCCCCCGGTGGTAACAATGAACTGGAATCGCGATAGACGAGCCAGGAAGTCGGACGGGAGGCCCTTTTCCCTTCCACAGATAACGCGTTCCAGAGAATTTTCCAAATTTCCCTCGCGAACTTTGCCCCTGGAAGAATCTCACGCAAATTCTTTCGTCCCTCCTTCCAGAGGGGGAGCCCCAAATCTGATATTCTTCGTTTTTCGTACACAGATTTCGTTACTTTGTGGTGCAACAGCAATAGGAGGTGGGGAAAGTCAATTTTATTGAGAAATTTGCATTGAAAAAGTGTGTTACTTCTTTGTTGTACAACTTTGTTTTTAAATGATTCATTTGATTTGATGCTTACCCCTTTTTCAGGGTGGAAACTGTGAGAGGGTGGTTTGAGGGGTGATTTAGTAACACATTGTGACCACATAGGGGTGATATTTTCACTAGGGAGCTAGGAGAATCAATTATCGATATTGGAAAATAAATAGGAGTCCCCAATTTAAATGAGGCTATGGAAAATAATTTCTGTGCCAAATTGGGGTAGTTTTTAAATTATCTAAAAACAAAGTATCCCTATTGTGGACAATTTAAGGGGTTTCTAGTTTGGCTAAGAAAATTACTTCTCAGTATTAGATATTAAAGAAAATAATTCCAGATAGGACTCTTCAATTCTAACACAGGTTATGAAAATAATTTCCATGGCAAAATGGGATAGTTTCCAAATACTCTAAATACAAACTACCCTTTCCATGAACAATTTGAGGTGCTTTTATTTAATTTAGCTATGAAAATTAATTCTCAATATTAGAAAATAAATCCATATGGAACTTTCAAATTATAACAAGGCGTTAAAAATAATTTCCAATGTAACTTGGGGTAGTTTTAAAACTCTCTAATAACAAACTACCCTTTTCATGAACAATTTGAGGTGCTTTTATTTAATCTAGCTATGAAAATTAATTCTCAATGTTAGAAAATAAATCCATATGGAACTTTCACATTATAACAAGGCTTTAACAATAATTTCCAATGTAAATTGGGATAGTTTCCAAATTACCTAAGAACAAACTACCCATTTTAGGGACAATTTAAGGGGTTTCTAGTTTGCCTAAGAAAATTACTTCTCAATATTAGATATTAAAGAAAATCATTCCAGATTGGACTCTTCAATATTAACACAGGTTATGAAAATAATTTCTATGGCAAAATGGGATAGTTTTCAAACACTCTAAATACAAACTACCCTTTTCATGAACAATTTGAGGTGCTTTTATTTAATCTAGCTATGAAAATTAATTCTCAATATTAGAAAATAAATCCAGATGAGACTTTTAAATTATAACAAGGCTTTAAATTGTAACAAAGGCTTTAAAAATAATTTCCAATGCAAATTGGGATAGTTTCCAAATTACCTAAAAACAAACTATCCTTTTAATGAACAATTTGATTGGTTTTTGATCTGGTTAAGGAAAATCATTTCTTAATAATAGAAAATAAATCCAGATGAGACTTTTAAATTGTAACGGAGGCTCTGAAAATAGTTTCCAATGCAAATTGGTGTAGTTTCCAAATTACCTAAAAACAAACTATCCTTTTCATGAACAATTTGAGTAGTTTTTGATCTGGCTAAGGAAAATCATTTCTTAATAATAGAAAATATATCCAGATGAGACTTTTAAATTGTAACGGAGGCTCTGAAAATAGTTTCCAATGCAAATTGTGGTAGTTTCCAAATTACCTAAAAACAAACTACCCTTTTCCTGTACAATTTGAGGTGTTTCATGGTACCGAAATCTCATTTAAATCTTCCCAAGAGACGTGTATCAAATATAAACACACCAACAGGGGGTTGCAAAGTACCAAAACGAGGGCAGTAAAGGATCTACTTGCTTTTTGATCCTTCTGCCAGATGCATTGACCCCTCTTTCCCAGCACGCGACAGATCAGCTTGGCGTCCTGTCCGGGATTCACCTCGGTGTACTGTGGCGTCTCTTCGAACTGCTGAATGGCACGGCACACTGAAAGCAAGGAAACTCATTAACACCGAGGGGTTGGTCGGTCGCGAGCCGCGTATGACAGTGCCGCAGAGGGGGGGGGGGTGGGGGGGTTGAAGCATCCCCCAAGCGTGGTTTATTACCCGATAAAACAGAAAATTCTCGCGTCGCGGCCACGCGAACTGGAAAGTTTTGTTTTCAAACGAGAAAGATAACAGATGGCCACGGCCATTAAAGCAGCCCGTTCCTGGTTAAAGTTGTTATTTAATTCGCAACTTCGGGGGTAAATTCGTTTAACTCGCTCCTTTCGATCCGGATCCACGGCGATCCGTCTCCCAGCGGCTCGTCGATAAATTCTATCAACGAGATAATCGCGTCGAGAACGACGCACTCTTAACTTCGACGACCCCCCATCGATCAGAACAAACCCCGATTTCTTTCTCCAACCCCCGTTCAGACGCTATTCATTCTCACAACGGGGATTTTTTTGTGGCAAAATTAGGGGTTGCCAATAAAATATTGACACCCTTTGTTTGAGGCATCAATATTTGGGGGATGGAAAATACACACGAATTTTATAAAGCAAAATTATAGGGATGAGTGTATTTTAAATAATTCAGAAATAAAGGGGTGGGCCCCCCTAAGTAATAAAATAAATAAATTTGATTTTTAACAAAATACATAAGTATAGTAAAATTCTAAATTAAAATGACTGCATTTAATTTGAATTTAATTCCTGTTTTTATTTTTTTGGGATACTTGAGGACTTTCCCCATAAATAAATAAATAAATAAATAAATTTATGAATTGTTTTTCTAGTTAGGAAAAAACCACCCCTTTGGTTTGGTTAATTATTTTGCAAGGGTAAATTAATATAGATATTAGTTTCGAAGGGATTGTAGGATACTATTGCTAGTTTGAGATAATATAAGTTTTAATTTATCTTCCTTTTTTTTAGTCAGCGGAATATTTCATCACTTAAATCCGTGCCAGACGGGTGCCCCGGAAAAAAGTACCGTGCGTCAAAAAATATCGCGCGAAACGTGTCACGGTAAACAACCGTGCGTCAGTTTTCACGACTACGACGGTGGAAGCGTTTCCAACGTGTCGCGAAAATAAAAACGAATTTCTGTTTGCTGCGTCTCCTTATCCTGCAGGACTTCCAAATTATTCCCTTCAAAATAGCGAGGCCTAATTAAAAAATTTTCTGAAATAGGAGAAACGGAACTATCAATTTGTTTCTTCTTAAAAGGACTTTTCTTTTTGATAATTTATAGCTTCCAAAATTTTAATTATTTTTGGTTGAAAAAAATACTGTATATGCTACAAATATTAGTGAATGTATGCTGTAAATTTCAAGTAAAACCAATCTATGGTTATCTTTAAAAAAATTATTGAAGAGACTCATGAATGTCTAGAGTAAACCATCCTTTTAGAGAGGCTATATTTGATAATTTATAGCTCCCCCAATTTTCATTATTTTTACTTGAAAAAAATACTGTGTATAGTCAAAATACCACTAAACATATGTGCCAAATCTGAATCAAAAGCAATCTATGGTTATCTTTAAAAAATATTACCAAAGTAGGCCTGCAATTTGCCCTTTTACATCTCAAGCTCATTTAAATACACCGAAGTGTTGAAAATGGATTTGTGTCCACCAGGTTCGACTTAATTTTATTTCGAGTGTGCAGCACACGTGGGAGGGTTACAAGGGTGCGAGGTATGGCGCGAACGTTCCTCACGCCGCGGCGAATTTCCCTTCGCGGCAATCCCGAAATTGAAACTTTCGTCGAACACGTTCGATGGGCAGAATCGATATCGAAAATGCTTATGGACCTGTCCATCGCAGTATGGGCCGGGTATCCCGCGGTGCATCGTAACGGGGCTTCGATAGGTATCGCGTTGCATTTAATTCGCGAAAATGCCCCCGTCGATCGACGAAGGAAACAAGGGTGGTTTCGCGGAAATACGAAAGTCGTGGGCGTGTCGCGTTCGAGGGGTGAAAAAAACAAAAAATATATACGCGTTGCATGGGGAAGGGTCGAAGGGAATACGATATACCGGGGAGTCACCAATAACGTACTTGTGCGATTAAAAACTGTCACGTGTACCCGACGATATATTGAAACCAGTCGTTTCCCAGTTTTTTCTCTTCTTCTCCCTTTTTCTCTTGTAATTCCACCCCCGTCGTTTCCCTCGAACGTCGCTGTTTCATTTAGCCGGAAAGAAATGTGCACTAACGTTCATTATTCAAGAGATTCCGTCCGTGCAGTTTCGGTCCCGGACCGAAAATAAATTAATCCGAAACGCCGGACCCCCGGCTGCGTTTTTTAAAAACGTTCCGTGAACGAGCCCGTTTGTACGCTCGAGGAAAAATATATCCGCGGCCATTGCCTCGTTCCGCTTGAATCTAATTAGACGGAAAATTAGGGGCCCGCGTGTGCGTTCACTTTCTTTCGACGAGAAAGAAGAGTCTTTCTTTTTTTAACATTTTGTCGTTCTTAGGTCACTTCGTGATTTTTTTTTTAAGAAAACCGTAGATTGCTCTGGAGAGAGATTTAGGACATATAATCAGTAAGGTTTGTAGAGTATACAGTATTTTTTTCAAGTAAAAATAATGAAAATTGGGGGAGCTACATATTATCAAAGAAAGACCCACTAAGGGGGTGGTTTAATCTAGACGTGCAATACATGGATTTCTTTAGGAATTTTTTTTAAGATAACCATAGATTGTTTTGAATTGAAATTTATAGCATACATTCACTAATATTTATAGCGTATACAGTATTTTTTTCAGGCAAAAATAATGAAAATTGGGGGAGCTAAAAATTATCAAATATAGCCTCTCTAAAAGGATGGTTTACTCTAGGCATTCATGGGTCTCTTCAATAATTTTTTTAAAGATAACCATCGATTGCTTTTTCTTAAAATTTATAGCGTACATTCACCAATGTTTATAGCGTATACAGTAATTTTTTCAGCCCAAAATAATGAAAATTGTCCGAGCTATAAATTATCGAAGACAGTTCCTCTGAGAGGGTGGTTTAGTAAAGGGGTGGTTAAACGCTTTAGACGTTCCTCTATTGTTAAAAATGAACGAGTGGGGGGTTGGAAGTGCTTGGAAAAACGTTGTCATTTGGAATTATCGCCGATCGATGTAAATGTTAGCTCTGTTTATCGGAAAATTGTTGGGAAGAATGCGTGGGAGTTCCCCGCATTCGACGACGATCATACTCGCTTGAAACTCGCGTTAATGAACACTGTCGTGGTCCAGTGATTAGCAGAACTCGACCATAATTGCTAAAAATCGTTTGACAAGCTTTCTATTTTCGAAAGAAATAAATGCGAACCGCTGAAGTCTTCGATTCCTCTTCTTTAATTCCGTTTCTCTTTGAGCTCCGTTTCTCCGGGGCAAAAATTGAAAATAAATATATTCCGTATTATAACCGGAGGCGCGTCTGCAGCTGGAGCCACCCGACTTCCGGTTTCCAGGGCTCCGGGAATCAATTATTTGCGTGGGAAAATGTGTTCCGTGGAAACGTTGCTTTCCACGGGAATCTCTACTTTGCTTCTCGATAAAATTCTCGGAGCTAATCTCGATTTTTCGACGCGTTTGTTCGACCTGAAATAGTCAAAAGAATTGGAATAAACATTAATGATACCGTTAAAAAATTCAGGGGTATTAAGGTACATTTTCAGCGAGCGTTTTAAAGCTCCGTTAAATGGAGCATGTTTTCATTTCAGTGTTGCACGGGGAATTATTTATTTTTTTTTGAGGGGGAGGAAATACAATAAAATCTCGTCCATCGATATAAATTTATTATTCTCGATTTATTTTACGACCACGGATAAATTTTATTTATTTTTCTCTGCAGATTGAAATTGTTATTCTGTTAATGTGCAACACTGGTTTTGGAAAGTAATTGCATTATAATTGTGAGTTTGCAGGTACGTTGGATGTAATGACTCTCGCGTGAGGAAGATCCTTTTTTCGTGGGTGTAATTAGGGGATTCCCTTTTTCTAACCCGTAACGAAACTTAGAATATCTTGGATGTTTTCTGAGAATGTTCATCGAGGGACACTGGTGAAATATTCAAAGATATTTGTAAGGAGTCGTCTGAGAAGCGACGTCGTTAACGCGACAAATGCCAATAATTAATAACCACCAAGCCAGCGAAGATTTTCCGAAAGTAATTTGTGGCTTGTTACCTGAGATGAGATCCGGAATATTTCAAACGTCGTCTAAATCATGTGAAAGGATTCTGGAGACGGAGCATAATGGCGTGCAATATTTATTACGGTGATTTTTAATTTTGTAAACAATGCAAGGACATTTATTTTTAGAATTTTTTTATTTGATCTTTCGAGATATTGGTTTTATTAATTTTAAATTGCTATTTAGACATGGATTTTAATTTATTTGCATGCAATATTTATTATATAGTGATTTTAAATTTTATTTTTGTAAACAATGCAAGTAAAATTTTTTTTTAAATTTTTTTATTTGATCTTTAGAGTTATTTGTTGGTCTTGTTAATTTTAAATTGCTATGCAGACATCGATAAATTTAATTTATTATACTAATTTTAAATTTTATTTTTGTAAACAATACAAACACAATACAAATTATTTTTAGAATTTTTTTATTTGATCTTTAGAGTTATTTGTTGGTTTTATTAATTTTAAATTGCTATGCAGACATCGATAAATTTAATTTATTTGCATGCAAAATATTTATTACACTAATTTTGAATTTTATTTTTGTACACAATGCAAGTACACATATTTTTAGAATTTTTTTTATTTGATTTTTCGAGATATTTGTTGGTTTTATTAATTTTAAATTTTTATTAAAATATCTGATCGAGTCTATGGATTAAATTCGAGATCCGTGGATAATTACAAGTGAATCTTGTCTTTTTTAATTGAATTAATGCTTCCAATTTCCAAGGAAATTTTCTCTTTTAATCCCTTTAATCCTAAGCCGCGGTTATACGTTTCTAACTTATCTCGAAATGGAATAATTCTAGGTTAG